ATTGAAATTGTCCTGAAAATCTATTAAAATCTCAACGTTTTTTATACATCATCTTACGACATTCTCGATCCGTCACACAAGTAATAATAAGTATTACTTAGGGAAAAAGTGCGTTCTACTCTGGGGGTGCGTTTTGTACCATACTCTCCTACATGTTCACTCATTCCTTTATTTAACGTTGGCCTCTGTTCCGCAATAAACTGACGGATAAACTGACGCGATTGGTCAAGGCGACGATGGATCGAGTGATGTGTATTGAGTTCGAGTATATGTGTTCGAGTATCGGGGACACTCTCGAGTCCCTTTGAATCTCGAAGGGGGTTACGGCAAGGTGATGCTATTCAACATCGCGTTAGAATTTGTGATCAGAAGAGCTGGGATAGACACGAGTGGCACGATCTTCAGGAAGTCCATCTTGCTTCTTGGCTTCGCCGATGACATCGACATCAGGGTACGGAACTTTGAGACGATGGCGGAAACGTACATCAGACTGAAGGCTGAAGCTATGCGGATTGGACTTGCCATCAACACATCAAAAACAAAATACATGAAAGGAATAGATTCTAGGGAAGACAATGTTAGCCTCGTACCCCGAGATCAGATTGACGGTGATGAAATTGAGGTGGTCAATGAGTTCATGTATTTGGGCTCACTGGTGACCGCCATAAATGATACCAGCCTTCTTGGGGTCCGGCGGACGCTCTGGTCGAATAAAATTCGCCGCCGCACGAAGTTGACTGTCTACAAGACGCTGATTAGACCGGTGGTCCTCAACGGCCACGAGACCTGGACTATGCTCGTGGAGGACCAACGCACCCTTGGTGTTTTCGAACGGAAGGTGTTGCGTACCATCTACGGTGGAGTGCAGATGGATGACGGAACGTGGAGGAGGCGAATGAACCACGAATTGCACCAGCTGCTGGGAGAACCATCCATCGTTCACATTGCAAAAATTGGGTGACCACGGTGGGCTGGGCACGTCGTAGGAATGCCGCACGACGACCCAGTGAAAATGGTTCTTGAAAGCGGTCCAACAAGAAGAAGTGGCGCACAGCGGGCAAGGTGGATCGACCAAGTAGAAGGCGACTTGCGGACTAGACTGATGCAAAATTTGACATTTTTGCTCCACAGTGCTCAAACGGCTCCAAATCGGGTCCTGATTAGCCTCCCAAATTTGTAACTCATTTGGTTAGAAACAGACTTCGCACAAGCCATTTGAAGTTTACATGTAAATTACTATGGGAAATCTCAACTTTTTGTTCATTGCCTTCTAGTCTTTTTCTATATTGAGCTGCGAAACAGTTCGATAGCCATTCTTATAGAAAATTTTCTCAGCTACAACTTTACTCAAGATTGTTTCTATGTAAAACGAGACAGGAAAAAGTTATTAATCATTTAAGATATTGGTAAACTTATGACATGATCAAGCAGCTGCTCTGTAGGCAACACTGCATTTTGCAGTGTGACATAGTAGCCATGATTTTTGTGTCCTATTCAACGCCCCAGAAACACCAATATTGCCTGCTGAGCAGTTGATTGAGCATGATCATAAGACATCAGCGCATTGGACCATTGATAAATTTCGATCCTTGCCTGTAATCATAAAGTGGTCTTGAGCAAAGTTGTAGCTGACAAAATTTCCTACAAGTACAGTTGAAAGTTTTTGAAGCAGACCGATATGGTGAATTATTAGATAAACATGCACAAACATCTTGGTTTTACCATAGTAATTTCCTTACAAACTTCAAATGGTTTGTACCATTTCAGTTTCTCACCAAATGGGTTCAAATTTTGAGAGGTTAGTCAGGATCCGATTTGAAATCGTTTAAGTATTGTGGAGCGAAAATTTCAAATTTTGCATCACTCTATTGTGGACCCTCCGCAGACTACGAGACTGGCGAAGTGCACAGCAAAAAAATAATTTTAATATCACATCAAAGTGGATGCACTACAATCGTGTAGAAAATATGGTGTATTATTACTTGCCAAAAAGGACAAAATTATCATTAACATTAACATTACGCTGCTTTTACTGCATTTGTTTATTTTTGTGGCCATAAAAATTACATGAGATTTTCGACATGATTGTAGTACATCCTCTCGGATGTAATATTAAAATTTATTTTTTGCTGTGTGTGGCCATGGATTGAGTAGAGTGGAGACGACTTCTTCGGACAGCCGAGGACAACAAGGCCTTAGTCTGATTGGTAAGATAAGGTAAATCTTTCCGCAATCTAGTGCCAATCACCGACGGACATCGATTGCCATCCATTGACGATAATCGAATGTACAGGAAGGCAGCTTCCACACCTGCGTAAACAGAAAAAAAATCTGAATTTTACCTATCGCGTAAAATCTTCCTTCGTTTCATTTTGAGCTATACTTGGCATAAACAGCGAAATCGTTTAAAAGCTTGCATACAATATTGCTAGTTTATGCGATATTGCGCTTAAATTTACACGAAATATTTATGAATTTATGCCAAATTTAGCAGAAATTTAAATGAATTTTCGAACGGTGTAGGATATCGCACATATTCAAATACACATGGGCCGGGACCAACGGCTTTACTTTCCTTCGGTGACCAGAGATTGTTATGCCTTAGAAAAATCCCACCGATCTCGGCTGGGATTGAACCCAGACCCATTGGGGTGAGAAGGTAGTCACGCTTACCACTACACCACCGGCGCCGGCTTATATGCACAGTTCGAAAAAGTAGTGTAAATTTCTGTTCAGTATGATTTACATAAATGGAGCGTCACATATCATATAAGTTTACATGATATATCTTGTAAAGTTCTGAGACATTTCATGCAATGTAGCAGATATTGTATACAAAAGCCCATTGTGGTAAAAAACATTGTTTACAAGCTGCTCGGTTGCGTGAAATGAAATACAAGTTTACGTGAGTGAATGTTTACATCACTATTAAAATTAAGAATTTTTATATGTGTGTTCACTAGACCGCAGTCGACTGATGCAAAATTAAAAATTTTCACTCCACATTATTCAAACAGTTTGAAATTGGGCCCTGATTAGCCTCCCAAAATTTTAACTCAACTATTAAGAAACTGGCACAAACCATTTGAAGTTTATATGGAAATTATTATGGGAAAACCAAATGTTTTTTTCATATCCATAGAACAATTCACCATACCGGTTGGCTTTAAAAAAAGATTGCTATACTCGTAGGAAATTTTCTCTTCTACAAATTTGTTAAAACCCACTTTTCGATTAAATGTAAAGAACAAAATTTATTATTGATTCAAGTCGCAATCAATTGATCAGCAGGCAACATTGGTATTTCTGGCACGAAGAATAGTGCACACAAATCATGGCTACTATGGCACACTGCACAATGCAGTGTTGCCCACAAAACAGCAGCTTGATCATGCCATAAGCTTATCAATCCCTTTAACAATCACACGTCTGGCGGAAAAACGATATTCTGCAAAGTTGTAGCTGACCAAATTTCCCTTAAGTAAAGCTATACAAGTTTTTAACAGTTCAATATGGAAAAAGGTTGGAAGGCATTGAAAAAAATGTTTGGATTTCCCATAGTAATTTCCATATAAACTTCAAATGGTTTGTGCCAAGTCAGTTTCTTACCAAATGACTTCAATAATCGGGATCCGACTTGGAACCGTTTGACCTCTGAGGAATGAAAATTTCTAATTTTGCATCAGTCTATTGTTCACCATGTGAAATCTTGACATGCTGCACATATAGGCGATAATGGTATGAAACGCACCCCCGGTGCAGAACGCACTTTTTCGGTTTATTTTGAATTATTCAAGTTTAGTTGCTGAAGTAGATGTGTTGCTTGGTAACATCCCAAAATAATTTTGAAAAAGCCTTGAAAAGCACAAATGAAAGTGAACTGGTTGCGTTGGACCCCGCTGGTGCATTTTGTACTATTACCCCCTAACAAGTAGTACTCAATTTATGAAATAAATGTAAACATATTTCATTAATAAATACAATACGTTTCAAAGGAGCATTCCTCCTGCCACGCTTTCATTTAGACCAACGACAACATCAACAGATTCCCTGTTTCCGTTATTCTAGATTCGCATTCTCCCCCTTTCACAGAGCTGTCGTGCTGGTTGAAACTTTTAATGGCGTCGTATTCGAATGCTTATCCCCAAGTTGGAAGCTTCTGGGAAATCCTCAACAACTCCAGTCGTCGCAAGGAATCGTTTCATCACTTTTGTTGCGGATTTGGCTGCGCTCTATTGTAGATAGAGTGAAGATCTGTGCGCACACGTTAATTTCAATTTGTATTCAAATTTAATAAATTGCTCGACATCAGCTTCCCGTCGAACGTCGAAGTGAACACACTGGCTGACTGGGATTTTCTTCCACTTTGCGTGGGGAACAATTGTGATTGGACGGGGACGGGGTGATGAGGTAATTGCATATACTTTCCAACTCGGTAGAAATGCTCCGGATGAATCAAGGAAAAATTGTATTCGAGTGTGGTTAGCATTTCGCCATCGTTTTCCATAATTCAATTTTCAATTAGAAAACAGGATAAGAGTGGTGCGTTCGGAACGGTTTTACCTTGATCCAGCGGGCGGAGGGGTGTTTTCCGACTGTGGAAATTGTTATCTCAATTAAATCGAGGGAATACATTTGCTTCGGTTGGGTATGGGCGAGTAGAGCCCAGGGATTTGCACAGGAGGGTTTTCCTTGTTCGTTCTAATGCGGATTTTCAAAGACAACGAAGGTGTCAGACTGTGCGCGGGGAAGATAATGGAATTTAAGGCTCCGGAATTCGGTTTTCCGTTTTTGTAAGACCAGCTGTAGATTGCTGTGGGTACTGAATATTTGTTATGGTCAGCTTGGGCCAGCTAAACTGTGTGGATTATGATTGAGTTTAGGCCTAATTGAATTTGTGGTTTCAAAATATGTTCTTGTGACACTGCCGCAACCTAAATGCCATCCCAAAATAAGTTGGTGCAAATATTTTGAGAATTGAAAATTTCATTACAACTTACCGTAATTGGAAAATCATCCTTAGTATCATAGGTATCCAGATTCCGTTTGAATCGTAACACTGTATGGGTCTTATTTTCGTACCCCATCAGCAGGGAATAGTCCTGTGACGGATCAATGATTGGATTCCCATCGCTCTCGGCTCGTATGTGTCGATCCTGTAAAAAAATTGAAACAAGAGATCCCAAGTCAGTCATAAACCTTACAATCATCTTCGTTAATTTCACTTTCAGTCCCCCGGAAACCGATCAAAACGCCTCAACTGACCTCAGCAACAGGACAACAGTGCTACAACAGTGGTAGCGTTCAACCGCAGCCGCAGCAATCTGCTGCAGCAGAGTACTCGCATCTCCTAGTGTCAGTTTATTCACGCCTGATTTATGGTGGAAATAATTGCTACAATTTGTCATCGCTATTTTGTTTTATTGGTCCCACGACACGTCCAGCGCCCGAGTCCAGTTCCTGCCTGGTATCGTGGCGGGAAGTTGACTTTTCAGACGATTAGCTCCGACTGAGGCCAACCGAGACCAAACACTCTTCGTCGGCCCGCCGTCCGTCAGTGATGGACATGAAATTTATGTCTATGCCGCGCGCCACCTCCGGGGGCAGCATATTTTGCCTGGGAGCACTCTTGCTAACACGGTTCAATTGGTTGTGAAATGATTGAGTGAGTGGAGAATGTCCCAGGACAACAACGACGACTACGGCGACCGTCGTTGCACGGATTGCGGCAGACAGCAGGGCCATTGGGTGGTTAAGAATCTGCTCGGGTGTTGTATTTAGTAGTACATCGTTTAGAACCAAGCCCCCCTCTCACTATCCCTTTTCCAAAGTGGGCGAATGGATGGGTGGGTGTCAGGGATAATAGTTCAAGTGACCGAACCAGAGTGAGTGATTAGTGGCAGCGATTAGGGAGCGAGTTTTCCGCTTAAGGGCTTTTTTGCTTGGTTCGGCTGAGCGGCGTTGATTGGGACAGGAAGCGTGCGGGGGTAACGATGGTGGCTGTAACAATGCAGGTATGGTCTGGAGTATTGGAGTTGTGGGAGCTAGTTATTGCCATCTTGCGCATGACAGGTGGCCGTAGTTCTATGGGTCCACTCCATTTTCCATCTGCTGGACTAAATGAAACAAAACCTGGATTTATCCACCTCTACCTTTCTTATGAATTTCGGAACCATTCAGGAATATAAATCAGACAATGTATGAATAATTTCGATATGGGACTATTAAATCTACGGTAGTTAATTTGAATTCTCATATTGCATCAAATGTACAAATGTTTTTAAGTATAGTATAATAAGTTTAAGCATACTTCAGAGTCTGAATGGCAGGTATGACTAATGTGGCTATGGGCACATTGCTCAAAATGTCTATTGTTTTAAAATTTAAATTTGATTTCATATGTTTCGGCTCACATCCCTTTCTGGATATTTCTCAGGAAATACTGAAGTGTCAAGCTTTGACCAGTGTAGTATTAAATTTGATCGCCTATTATTTTGATACTAATCTTGCGGCAAATGATCTTCATCTTTAATTCTAATGTGATTCAATAGATCCTGGTAGCTTTAGCCATTGCACCCGGGACATGTACGGTTATTGCAAATATGATTCAGGCAGAGCAAATAATAATCTTTGTTCTGATGGCCACATGATTAGTTGGAACAGTGATGGACAAATTGCGGCACGCGGGCTAGGATCTCTGCGATTTGGTGCATTATATGATGTATGATGTATCTATTCAGAGTATGGCTACATCCTTGGGAACATCCAGAACCTGTTTGAGTGAGGTCATCAATGATTTAAACTTTGAATGCTCATGCAAGTCAGAATCTGGCCCTTTCCTTGGGGCTCGAAAATCATGTTTGGATATTAGTAATGTGGTTCATGGTACTCGATTAGACTACCACTCAACTTTTTATCGAGATGGGTTTTGACACAAATCAGAATTTGGTCACTTTCTCGGGAGCTCCAGGAACATGAGAACTCAATGTTGCATTAAATGATCTTAGTTTTGAATTTCACACTGACGTATTTTGTACACGGTTTAGCCATTCTTGTACACCTAGATGTATCGGAAGTCTATAATATCACTTCAAAACACATTTTCGATTTAAGGCCCACAGAGTCAAGTGTTATATACAATCCCGAGTAACAAAAATTCATAGAAATATGTTGTGCAAACTGCTATACAACCAAAACTAGTCATACAAAGGGTATGTTCGTGAAAAGCGTCTAGTACATGTTCAATTGCCCTATTATTTGTAATAACGTTTGTATTCACGCACAGGTGTCGTTAGTGGTATATGCAAGTGTTTTGCCTTGTGTCTTACTCTGTATACCAAATACTGCTTTGTATTGTAATGAATGATGAACGACAATAAATAAATGATAAAGTTCGTATGCCTCCGCCATGGCAGGACGGACAGACAATCGGTCGTCTTTTATTTAATTGATTTGTAAAATAACACAACGTAAGATTATGTCCTGCGAGTGCGCGGTCATATTTGGTGCCGTGACCGTTTGAAACCTGCGGGCTAAGTTTTTAAAACGATGTAACCACCATACGTGAAAACTGTAACGATCTAAAGATATTAAGTGATTGGCGCGCCATCGACTCCGAGGATTCCGCTCCACTTTCAGCTACGATGGTGTGTCCTGCTAGGTAGCCGTCTGGCTGAGTATGCTCTGCGTTCTCGATTCACCGTGGACTACGACAGTTCTAATCGAAAAACAGACTCACTCTAAAAGGCGAGTGGGCATGCCGGATACTCAAGCAGTTGTAGTGTTTTCTTATCTTCAGTTACATTCTTCCAGTCAACAACCACTTTCCTCAATAAAAAAAACGATGGTTTTGGGGGGGAGTATGTTTGTGCAAAGCGTCTAGTACTTGTTCAATTGTCCTATTATTTGTAGTAACGTATGTATTCACGCACAGATGGTAGTTAGTGGTATATGCAAGTGTTTTTCCTTGTGTCTTACTCTGTATACCAAATAGGGGATTTAAAGTATTCTCGGCAACCTAAGCAGCGACCTTCTTTCTATAGCCTTTTTCTCTATGAAACGCACACATATGCAGTATTGGTTTGTTTACAATCTTTTGCTGCCAGCTGCTCTAACCATTTCAGTCGAAAGAATTGTCAAAAACTGTTTTGAAACGCTTTTACAAAGCTCCAATCTTCGCTAGTGAGAGCGAGTATTGTCGGCAACCAGTTTTTCTTCGGCAACCGTTCCATTTGAACTGCATGTAATTCTGCTGTTCTATTATCGGCAACTCGAAATCAGCTACAATTTGTAGTGCGTGTGTTTCATTTCAAGAAAACCCTGCTAGATTGCTTTTTCTCAGTGGTAAAAATATAGTCAAATTGAAGCTGAAAGCATAAAGAATTGTTTGCATGCATTCAGCGAAGTGTTTTCGTAAGAAAATCCAGTGAAAATAGTGTTTCAATTTGGGTTGCCGAAAATAGTCTGTCATGCCGAAGCCGTCATTTCCCCTACTGCTTTGTATTGTAATAAATGATGAACGACAATAAATAAATTACATACACTGGAACCTCCATTTACGAACCAAAACGGGGGTTCGTAAATCGAATTAGTGCGTAAAAAACCTCGTTATTTGGGATTTACTTCGTAAAAAAAAATTCGTTATTGGGATTTACTTCGTAAAAAGAGGTTTTTGAAAATATTGGCAAATACCCCACAATATAGGTATTTTTAGACTCAGGGTGACGTGTAGGGACCGAATATCGATGCCTGACGCTATTTTGAAATCCAAGATGGTGGCGTCCGGTTGCAGAAAAACTTGGAAATCTGCCAAATACTCCACAATATGGGTATTTTTGAGAACGGAGTGACGTTTAGGGATCGGAAATCAATATCTGACGCCATTTTGAAATCCAAGATGGTGACTTCCGGTTGCAGAAAAACTTGGAAATTCTGCCAAATACCCCACAATATGGGTATTTTTGGAATCGGAGTGACGTGTAGGGACCGAATATCGATGCCTGACGCTATTTTGAAATCCAAGATGGTGGCTTCCGGTTACAGAAAAACTTAGAAATTCTGCCAAATACCCCACAATATGGGTATTTTTGAGAACGGAGTGACGTTTAGAGACCGGAAATCAATGTCTAAAACCATTTTTAAATCCAATATGGCGACTTCCGGTTGCAGAAAAACGTGGAAATTCTGCCAAATACCCCACAATATGGGTATTTTTGGAATCGGAGTGACGTGTAGGGACCGGAAATCGATGTGTGACGCCATTTTGAAATCTAATATGGCGGCTTCAGGTTACATAAAAACTTAGAAATTCTGTCAAATACCACCCCACAATATGGGTATTTTTGGTTTTTTTGGCAAATCACCCTGATTCCAAAAATACCCATATTGTGGGGTATTTGGCAGAATGTCCAAGTTTTTCTGTAACCGGAAGCCACCATCTTGGATTTCAAAATGGCGTCAGACATCGATTTCCGGTTCCTACACGTCACTCCGATTCCAAAAATACCCATATTGTGGGGTATTTCACAGTATATCCCAGTTTCCCAAAATCAAAAAGCAAAAAACTCGTTATTTGGAATTTACTTCGTAAAAAAAACCTCGTTACTTGGGATTTACTTCGTAAAAAGAGGGACGTAAATTAAAAACTGCGTAAAAAACTATGACTTCTCACTCTTCCTCTTTTTTTATCGAACATTTGGTGCCAAAGTTATTTTCAAAAAAGTCAAAACTTCACAATTTAACTATTATACTTAACTTATTTATTCTTATATTTATTTTCGTCTTCTTCGATTAACCGATTTGAGGCAACAAATGCCATTTTGTTTGTATCTGACTCCCATTCAAGTTCTTCCCGATCGGACATTTGGATCAGGAGATATAACCAATTAACAAAAAATCCACTACACTTACTCACTTTTATCTGCGATGGCTGAGCTGATTCTAGTTCAACTGATTCCATTTTGTTTGTATTTGACCTCGATAGTTCCGATTGGTTCCGGAGAATTGACCAAAGAAGTTAAATTTTTCAATAAATCCGTAATGCTCATTCACTTTTTTTTCTGTGGTGGCTGATCCAATTTGAGTGCAACCGGTTTACATTTCTTCGCATTGGACTCCCATAAATCCTTATGAAATTTCATCCCGATCGAACGTTTGT